CAGCTTTTCGACGTTAAGCTTTCCTTGCATTGTTGGGCGCACATTTTCCAATCCAATTATGTACTCTTGAAAATATTTCATTCGCATTATTCACTTTCTACGTGAAGAAGATCTACCGACAACGCACTTCTAAACTCACAAGGAAAATTGGAAAGTTTACACCGTAAGTTCCTTGTTGGACGTGAAGGAAGCTCCATTTGAAAACTCTCTGGTATGGCGTTACCATATGCGGCTCAATAGCAAGCGTCCGCGAATTCCGAACCCCTACATCCCACTGTAGAAGTGAAAAAGTCTTACCCTTTGGTAGAAAGTGTTGCCCACAGGGTGCAGTGATCTTCCACCTTTTATTGTCACAAAATAAATTTATTCAAATGACCAGAGCCTGCAGGTAATGGGGACGAACTGTGGCCTGATTGCCCAAATTGGCAAGAAAATTTTAGCATTTCGTTGGTGGTACAGCAAAACGTTCTAAGTTAATTATATTCGCCGATTCTTAAAGGATCTGTAACCTTCATCTCATCTCATCAATTTGGTTAATCGTTCATCTTCATCAGCCAATGACAGTTTTTTCAGAAGTTTATGAGAGTGTAACGATTAGCAGATGCATATGCCCGTCTGGTGGAAAAAGACAGAGGTGAAATCTACGCCGTGCAAACTCCATCGGCTAGCCCGCGTCACCTTAACTGGCGCGATGAGAATAATACCAAACCTGGCTACCGAGGTCCTTCTAGAGCTTCCTCCTTTGCACATTGTAATCAATAAAGTAGCTTTACTGTTTACAGCAGGACTTAACTCAGGTTAAATGTGTGGGATAAAAAGCTTATACACCCTTGTACCGTCAGGGTTATATAGTAGAATAAGAGTAAGCTTCGTGGACTTGTGCCTTCCGAGGTTTAACTTCAGAAATAACTTCAAGGTCTTTTAGCCAATGAACGACTTAAGCACTGGAGGGATAGCCAAATTTTTTATACCCATAGCTACAAGACTGCCCATTGCGTCGGAACAAGAATCTATGCTAAATAAATTTTAAATTATCGATAGCTTCAAAACAAGCTACAAAGTATGTCGTTAAATTTCCTACAAGAGAGAGATGGAGACTTCCGTACACTCTCTTGGGGAACTCGGTAAAGCTTTCTATACGTATGGCTCCAAGTATGAAAATAGAGCTGAAGTTGAAGAGTAACTTCAGATGCTTTGCTGCTTTAA